CCCATTTTTTGAGGGAAAAGCCTTGGGGATGAGGTTGAGGCCTTCCCTTTCAGAATTTTTCGTGTTCGTGGTTTTCGTTTCTGCTGGTTGCTGGTATCAGAGGCGAATCCCGTTCATAGTCCTCATATCACTCTCTAGACATAGGAATCGGTAGACTCGGTACATTTGAAAATCAAGATGGCCGCCATGAACGGGAAGACGCGCTATATCTCGACGATCTCACGAAAAAATAGGGGACTGTGAACAGTCTACCAGAGCGCCTAATGGAATAAACGGTACTGCGATTTTCAATAACGCGAACTCTCAAACGCCAACTAACGTCAATCACCTTAATTAGCGGACCCTAGAAGTTCATGATTTGTGACCCTTTGGTGATTGCTAGATTTCGATGCATTTCTCGTGTTATTGAAAAGCACAGTAACGTCTGGAACAGGCTGATACTCCTTAAGAATTCAACTTCAAGAAACCCCGCCTACATGTGACAAATTCCCCGAGGTTAAATAACGCGATGACGTTTGAAACAACCCAAATCCACTTTTTTAGGGACGTCCTCGTGACTGGTAAAGGTCGCTATCAGACCACTCCAGAAAATACCACAACATACCATAATGCTCTTTGTTTGTCACCCCAAAATTTTGCATAAGCATTGTTTTCAGTTTCTCTCAGGGCCATTTAACCCCCTAGAGAAACTGAAGACAAAGCTTATGCAAAATTTTGGGGTGACAAACAAAGAGCATTATAGTATGTTATGGTATTTCTAGAGAGGTCAATAGTCAGAATAGTGTCTAATGTTGTCTTTATGGCTAATAGCGAATTCAGATCCAACCTTGTTCCCAGGATTCTCTCCTACCCACGGAGACAACCCTGGGAAAGAGGTTGATAAGTCACTTGGAGGGGGGGTACTGCTAATCCAGTTCCTAAGATAACAGGGGACCCAGCATCGAAAATAATTTTCCTTGGCCCTGTGGTCTTTTTTTTGCGGGCTTGGGTCCCTCCCCTAGATCAT